ATTCGGATGTGGATGACAATGTGAGTGACAGGAACAGAACTGAATTGGCATTGCATTGGGCTATCACAGATCAGCTGTGCACAGTAGAGCATCGCTTTTGGGGTTAGAGAAATCAGCACTCAGTGGTGGGATCATATTGCCATGCAGGTGAGGGATGAAGATCAGCTGACTGTGAAGCCTTTGGTTCAGTTCATTCTGCATCTTGATAAGACACTTCAGCATCCCATTTTGGTCTTCCATGAGCTTTGACCAGATTCTTCTTCATCCTTTGTGATTTTTTTCTTAGTTTATGGAGTCAGTCTACTGAGGAACATGCCAGACTTCTCAAGGCTTGGTCTGGAAAAGTAACTACTAACAATGGAGTGACGGTACTTTTCGTGATAAAGATTGTAACATTTCGCTAACATGTAGGTCTCTCAACAAAACTTGCTACTTTTCTTGTTACCCTAAGGGCAATTCTAGAGGCAAACACAGATCTCTCCAGACTCTCTGACCATGGTGAGTTTTAAAGAGAGGACGGTTGGGCATGGGTCCCCAAGAAAGTACAGTCTCACCACCATGCATGACTGCTGTCCCCCACCCCGCTGCACTAGAACAACTTACCACCTCACATGGCAGCCATTTACTCATGCTCCACATACAAAATTGCTGTGAGTCCTCACAAACTTCAGGACTTGAGACCAACACCTTGCTGCCTGGCACATTGGTTGTCACCACATTGAGTGTAACCCCCTTGTCCAGTTCCTCCTCTTCATCAATAACTTCTGTCTCTGGGACAACTCCTATTTCTGACTCTGTACTATGGGGAAGTAGCTACACTGTCCTTGGGTGTAGATATGGGGTCTACACTCAGGATTGCATCTAGTTCTTTAAAAAAATGGCATGTTGGGGGTGCAGCATCAGACCTACTGTTTGCCTACTTTACCTTCTGGTATGCCCTCTGGAGTTCCTCTATCTTGGCAATACATTGCAGGGTGTTTCACTTATACCCCTTCTCACAGGACTCAAGAAATGTGATTGCACATGTCCCAGTTCACTCACAGCTGTGACTGCACCGGTTCTTCACCCCACACTGATAAACTCCAAAAGCTTTGGGGGAGGCTCAAAGCAGGAGAGTGTTTTGAGCAATAGCCAGCCCTGTTTTCCTGAGAAGACACCATGAGGACCACTACACAATAAGCCAGACACCAAGAAATGGACTTTAAAGTTCCCGAGGTTTGCAGGTGGGAGGGACACATCTGTTTAACCTATGTACGTGGCTGCAGAGCCACAGAATTCAAAACACTGGCCAGAGTGGCTAATTGGGCATTGTGGAAAACATGCTGGATGTCAATAAACTTGACCAAAAACCTACTGTAGTACACACTGCATGGCTGCTGACAATAAAGGAAGAGGAAGAGACAAAAGTCTCGTGTGGAGGTGGGAGCTTTTTGTCAGCAAAAAACTGGGTGTTTGTCATAACTTTTGTCATACCAAAGACAATACTTGTAGCCAATTCTATTACAAACTATCTAAAGAATTATTAACTAGGAAAAAGAAATAAGCGGGTCACTTACAAGTTTAAAGCAAGTAATCATATATAAACACAAATGAGTTCTAATTTTAATTTTCCCAAATTTCGATAATAAGCACATTCTCAGTGTCCTTTAGGGCTAACCCTGGCAAGCACTCGGGCTTGTTTGTTTGTGCTTAGTAATCCTTGTCCCTCGAAGTCCAAGCAACATAAAAGATACCATTCTTCCTTTATAGGACTTGCTGTTCCATTCCTTCTCCGCTCACCGCTCTGCCCCAGCCCATGCTTTGAGTTGCAAATTTGCTGTTGGGAGGAGTTCCCTTGCATGTCTCAATGCCAGATGAACTACTGCAGAACATCACAGGACAAAAGACTTTGCTGATTGCTTCCCCTTCACCCTTACACCCATTGACAATATCTTCACTGTGGAAAACAATAAAGGGGGTTCCAGCAGGACAGAAACAGTTAAACCATGGAGTGTAGTAAATGTCTGTGCCCAAGATGTTGGTACCAAGAGTAATAAATGGGAAAATGGGCCAAAGAGGTCAATACCAAAAGAGTTGGTACCCCACTACCAGTGTTGGGAGCTTGGGATCAGTACAAACTGCACCAAAGGCAGCTTGTGCCTCATGTTTAGACAGTACTGAAGCATGGGATTGGTATCTCTATGGGTATCAGAGGGTCTTAGGTCAGGCCTTGAGCTACCCTAATTTTAAAGCAGAAAGAGTAGGTGTTTTCCTCTTTCTTTTGCTAGGTGCCTAGGATGGAAAACTGAAACCTGAGCTCCTTAGAGGAACAGTGCTGTATCCTACTTCTTTTGGCTGCAGAAGAACAGTTGATAGCAGGAGCATCCAAGGAATGCTTCAGTGAGAAGCCCTGGATATTAGAACTAAAACCCAATAAAATTACTATCCTAACATACTGTACTATGAACAACAATGCTAGGGTTCCTTATACCAACAAACTCATTGCGATGAGCACAAGTGCAAGAGACAGTGACATGACTGTCCATTTTTTCGCTACCATGGCAATAAGAAGAGATTAAGGGCCCATTAGCTCTGCTCTGCCCTTTGAGTCCTTTGGAGGGGTGATGCAGAACCACTGAGAGTGTGGGTGTGACCTCAACACACACTGTTGTTCAAAAGATTTTAATCGTAACTACCAGGAGTGCATGTGCACAGTGAACTGAATCCATGCAGACAACACTCAGAGAAGGAAAATTAGTTTCCCTAAATACGGCAAGCTGCATTTGGGTATCTGAATTATTATATTCAAAAAACTCAGTAACTTCATACTACATTCCTGTAAGGACTGAGATGTTCTTTTAGCACCATCTTCTCATATCCTCTAATATGAACCCGCTACAAAAATCCCTGTACACTGATTTGGTTGAATCTGCTTAAATTAGCACCCTGATAAACAGCATGTCTATGTACTACCAGGGAATGGAGTCACAGCAAAATGTTGTAATGAATCCAAACAATGAATACTGGATATCTATTCGATTGACTGTCCCACTAGCTGCTGTCTGCAAGCCCATTCATATTATTTATAGATGTCAATTAATATTTGCTATGACACAGATTTTGCTGTTTGACAGTCTCTTGACTAAATTAGTTTCTTGTGTTAATATAATTTGTACTGCGTGTTGTTTAAAGCAATTCATAAAATAAAAGCATCACTTTCAGCACAATGTATTCTTATAAGCATCAGATAATGGGAGCAATCGTTAATTGGTATGCTTCTGGTTCCATCAAAATGTACCAGTTAGAAAGATTACACTGCACTTCCATGCTTATTGATCTTACTTTCTACGTCCCAAAGAGCACATTTAATCGACTAGGTTATCCTGATAGCAAAATATACACACTCTCTCTCTTTTATTGGAACCTCTCAACTGGAAAGCCCTGCAGTAAGGTTTGGAAAGTTGCAATTTTCTGAGTGACAATAAAGAACACAATTTTGGATTATACTAAACTTGTTCTAAACAGGAGGGCATTGCATGTTAGGGGATTTTAAGGGAGCATAGAACAGCTTGACGGTCTCCCTTCCGGCCAGACACACATCCCTCTTCACCCAACCTGCCTTGTACGCCCCTAAGAATAGTTCACATTACACATGGTCTGACTCAGCAGCTCATGGAAACTGACAATTATTGTTTGTTGGACAATGCACCTTTTTTTTAAAACAGCTTAGCAATACTCAGGCCCTAAAAGTTTGGACCATGTTCCAAAAGGCATCTGAAGATGTATAAAGATGTCTTTAATAGCACAGGTTTATCCTGTAACTCCATCTGCCCACAGGATAAAGTCTGTCAGGTGAGTATTTTGTCTAACCAACTCACCTCTGAACCACTGGGCAAACAAGATACAATGTCACTCTCAGAAATGCTCCCCTTGAAAGCGGTGCTGACAAGAATCAGATTGGCCAACACTGACTAACCTCAGAGCTATGGCCAATCCAAGAAGTGAAATGCTAGGGAGACAGTATATTTAGGACTGCTGTAAACTTGGATGGCCTCAGGTGGCTCAGATATTTGGTAGGTACTTCTCTGGGACCCATCTCAATTGTATGTTTTGGTGTAGCACAGTGTTTTATGTAGTGCATCAATGCTATCATGTTTGGTTCTTTTTCTGTAAAGGTTTCAAATAAATAACAACTATCACTAATAATTTGTATTTATAATTTGTGTTCTGGCAGCACCCAGAATTTGCCAGGTACTGTTCTCCTCTGGAAGAGCATACAATTTAAGATCAGCTGATATGTTGTAACACCGTACTTCAGTTCTGATAGAGCATCATAACTAATAGATCAGTATCTAGATAGAAGTACAGTAAATCTGAAATGGTTACTATAATAATACTCTGTATTTACTGTAACGGGCACAAACAGTGTTAACTTTATATAGATATTGAAGGGATGCTACAGGTCTCTGCTCTATTATGGAGGTGAAATAATTATTTATTACAGCTGAGATTTTCAATGGAGACTAATGGAGTTTCAATGGGATTTTGGTGCCAATCTTCCTTAGCCTTACTTAGGCTTAAAATCCTGGCCTACCACAATAATATCCCTATTTAACTGGTACAAGACCAGAAGAAAAAAATCCTTTGCAAGAATGAAGGAATAAAGGCCAAAGGGCACGTGAAAGAAAGAACATGACATGAACATGAACATCGGCTGCTGATTTATGGCGTTTGTGTTGAGACCATAAAAAAGGGATGTTGAGAACGCAGAAAACAATGAAGACAAAGTATGCTACTAGCAAGGCTGACAGTGCTTGTGCAGACTGCAGGGAAAATGTTCAGAAGCAATGGTTAACCCTTCCCTCACAACAAACGTTCCACTGCAATGAACATTTTGGGAGCCATTTCACAGTTGCTTTTCCAATCTCTCTTTCTTTTTTGTTTTGTTTTATTTTGTCTTGCTGTCATTCAAAACTGCCCGCTTCGTCTCTATATTGTTTTCACATAGATATGCTACTCACTCTCTCATGCGTTTCAGCTTGGTCTCAGCCATGGTGTTGTTGATTGCTCTCGATCCCTGGGGCACTGCTGGAGCCACACTGGTAACAGTCCCAGAACCTACAAATCAATGCACAGACATTCAACCTTATTCACCTTTATCTCATCAGTAGTGCTGCAGATTCAAGGCAATAGTCAAGGACAATTAGAAAATGGAAGATAATTCACCTTTGTCACATGGTGTTGCTGTATTAATTAAAGATTAATTAGATTATTAAATGCACATTGAGGCAACTCAGTTCAGCGGGATAAGCAGATTTACAGTTTACAATAATTGTCATTCAACCATTGTATTACATAACAAGGACGTGCACATGGGAAAAAGCTGGGACAGAGAAACTATTAAACAAAAATAAATTTATGCAGTATGATTGTTTTGTTCACTTTGCTTGTATTTTTTTTATAGGAACAATACCCTTGTTTTCACAGCTCAGTTCCTCCTTTGGCTTGATCACGTAGTAAGGTTTAAATGTTGTCCTTACAATGTCAGATTTCTGCTGTCCTGGGTGAAGGGATTTCTGCAGAATTCACCATTTACCTACTGCACTGGAGTGTTGTGAGCTCCGCAGTGAGTTTAGGAATAGCTAGCTGAAAGAGCCGTTGTCAGAATAAGACCAGCTACATCCCCTTTAGAAACGGCCAAGAGATAGCACACCTCCCCTGTGGGGCTGCTAGCGTGGCAGGCTGTTCAAACTTCCAAATAATGTCTCTTTCTTGCCGGGGTACATTAGAGGACCCATTTATTTCTCCCTCAGCCAAGAATGCGCAGAATGGTGGGGAGGAGGAAGGCTGCCTGGCTGCTCTGAAGAGATTGTTATGGCAGTAGGGGACATAATATCTTCTGGGGCATGAAGGAAGGGTGCAGGGCTGCAGCTCTTGGTTCACCTTTAATAAAACAACCATCATTCCCACTGACAGTGCTTGACCTGTTGAAAGGGTAGGACCATTGAATCACCCCTACTTAACCCAGACACCTCCCCTGTGGGACTGCTAGCGTGGCAGGCTGTTCAAATCTCCAAATAATGTCTCTTTCTTGCCGGGGTACATTAGAGGACCCATTTATTTCTCCCTCAGCCATGAATTGCCAGCCACACTTTGACCCTAGGTATGTTATGCCTTTTGAGCTTAGACCTGTACACTCTATATAATGGAGCATGACAATGAAGCAAATTTGTCCCATACAGTCAGAATTTGCTGTGGGGCTGCTATTGCTCCCCCCAAATCTGGAAACAGGAAATTCTTAAGATAGCAAGATCCTGGGTTTCAAATGGTCTCTTAAGCCTTTTCTATACAAACAATTAGACCACAGCAAGCTGGGAGTGAATCTACACACGCCAGTCTGTTGTGGTCTAACTATTCATGGGCACCCTGCCAATGCATATTATTGTGTTTTGATCTAGGACTTGGGGATTACAGTGGATGAAAAGCTGGATATGAGTCAACAGTGTGCCCTTGTAGCCAAGAAGGCTAATGACGTATTAGGGTACATTAGGAGAAGCATTTCCAGCAGATCTAGAGTAATTATTCCCCTTTATTCGGCACTGGTGAGGCTACATCTGGGCTGTGTCTAGACTGGCCAGTTTTTCTGGAAAATCAGCCGCGTTTCCGGAAAAACTTGCCAGCTGTCTATACTAGCCACTTGAATTTCCGCAAAAGCACTGACTTCCTACTGTAAGAAATCAGTGCTTCTTGCGGAAATACTATGCTGCTCCCATTCAGGCAAAAGTCCTTTTGCGCAATAGTTTTGCGCAAAAGGGCCAGTGTGGACAGCTCAGATTTGTTTTCCGCAAAAAAGCCCCAATCGCGAAAATGGCAATTGGAGCTTTTTTCCGGAAAAGCGCGTCTAGATTGGCACGGACACTTTTCCGCAAAAAGTGCTTTTGCGGAAAAGCGTCCGTGCCAATCTAGACGCTCTTTTCCGAAAATGCTTTTAACGGAAAACTTTTCCCTTAAAAGCATTTGCGGAAAATCATGCCAGTCTAGACATAGCCCTGGAGTATTACGTCCTGTTCTAGGCCCCCGACTACAGAAAGAATGTGGACGCATTGGTGAGGGTCCAGCAGAAGGCAACCAAAATGATTAGGGGGCTGGAGTACATGACCTACAAGGAGAGACTGAGAGATTTGGACTTATTTAGTCTGCAGAAAAGAAGAGTGAGGGGGGATTTGATAGCAGCCTTCAACTTCCTGAAAGGAAGTTTCAGAGATGAAGGAGAGAGGCTGTTCTCGGTTGTGACAGATGGCAGAACAAGGAGCAATGGTCTCAAGTTACAGTGGGAGAGGTCTAGGTTGGATATTAAGAAAAACTATTTCACTAGGAGGGTAGTGAAGCACTGGAATGGGTTACCTAGGGAGGTGGTGAAATCTCCATCCCTAGAGATTTTTAAATCCCGGCTTGGCAAAGTCCTGGCTGGGATGATTTAGTTGGGGTTGTTCCTGCTTTGGACAGGGGACTGGTCTTGATGACCTCCTGAGGTCTCTTCCAGCCCTAGGATTCTATGATCTAGTTCTTTCTGACACTTGTCTAGATCAAAGTGCATTAATGGACTGTTAATCTGCAGGATGCACATGAATGGTTAGACTATGGTGGGCTAAAGTTGCACCCCAGCATGCCATCAATTAAATGTTAGTGTGGACAAGTCCTCAGATTTTGAAGGGAGAAGGAAATGGCAGTCAAAGGAGTAATATTAATATTTCTTTATGTTCCGTGAAGCTGAGAAGATTTATATAACTATTATGCAATGGCAACCAAAATAATGGGGGTAATCAAATAATTACACAACACTTCTGCTTTAACATCCAGTCCTCCTTTGCTTAAACTTTAGTTCCAGTCCTGCCAATAGGGTGGCTTTCAGGGCTGCAGGGTGTGTGTGCGCGGAGGGGCTAGTCTGGCACATTCCAGTTGAAACTGAGGGCTGGCTGCCCCATTCTTGCCTCTTCAACCCAAGGTCTCGCTCCTTCTGGGAGCATGGAGATATGCCCCCCTTTACCTAGGGGGCTGACAGACTTGCCATTAATAATTAGTGCTTTACCAATGAATGATGGGATGATGAGCATTCACACGATTGTCTTGGTCCTCACAGTTTTTGAGATATCGGCCACTAAAATCATATTGTTATTAAAGTGAGGGGGAATAAAACAAGTAGACACAGCCAGATACGTTTCATACATGAGTTACATGTCACAAGCCTCCAGATTTACAAAATGTCAGCTACTCTTACTGAAAGAAAGCTAAGACAATCACTGAAATACAAACTATCAAAGGCCATTTATCATATAGATGAGGGTGCATTTAGTAGCCTAAGCTACTAGTTTGGTACCTAAATAGTACTGTGTAACCAAGGTTTTATCTTTGTGCCTATAGTTAAGTTGGTGAGTATGACTTGTTCGGTTCTTGTCAACAATTAATATGCACTGCAGCTGCTAAAAATATAATTTTATGTAAAGGCTCGATTGCAGGGCAAAACTATGTAAACGCTCATCTACTAATTTGGTCAAGCAGGACGCAAGTACTCTGCATATGTCTGAGTAGGAAAGGAAAGCTGATCTGAATAAATTAAAGTTGTGAATGTAAAGTATATTCAATACACTGGATTAAACCTTGTGTGGACATTCACATTAAGAATTAAAGTGACCTTAAATCAGTTTAGTGTCATTCAATGCCAAATTGAATGAAACGAAACTGAATTAAAGTTACTTTAATTGTGAATGAGAGTGTCCTCATGAGGGATTAATGCAATTAAACTAATCTACTTTTAATTCACAGGGTTAGTTAATGCAGATTAACATCCCTAAATGTCCCTGTGTACAAAGGCCTCTTATCATTCAATCTCTTGAACTAAGGGCTTGTCTAAACTTAAAAGGCTGCATTGGGCAGCTGTGATGCTGTAGCACTTCAGCAAAAAGGCTTCCAATGCCTTTTCCAATGGGAGGGCTTTGCCCATTAGTGTAGTTAATCCACCTCCTCAACAAGTGGTAAATTATATGGATGGGAAAAGCCCTCCTATCCACATAGTGCTTTCTGCACCAGGAGCTTAGGACAATATAACTGAGACACTGAGGAGTTTAGTTATACTGTCATGAGCTGCTAGCACAGAGCAAATGGTCAGTACTTTGCAGGTGCCAAACAAAATGATGCTGATGAATTGATAGGTGACTCTCTTTGCTCTCACACATTGAGGCTGATAGTTTTGCCAGGCCTCTGGGGAAGGCACAGGGTGGGGGTGTGGATCCACACTCTCAGAATGGGAGGGCTCAGGCAGAAGGAGTGGAGCTGTGGCTAGCTTCCCCTAGAAAGCCCTCAGAACTTCCTGGAGTGTACTATGTCTACTCCAGCCAGCTTGGAGTGCTGCCCAGAGTGTGCCACGCGGGAATCTGGAAGCAATTTAAAGGGCCCAGGGATCCAGCTGCACCCCTGCTGCAGTAGCAGTGGCCAGGAGCCCTAGGCTCTTTCGAATCACCAGGCCCTGGGGCAGTTGCTCTCTCTGCCCCATCCCCCATCCTTGGGCCTGCTCTCAGTCTGTATTGTACTGATGCCCTAAAAACTATGTCCTGACCACCTTTGACTTAAAAAGAAGATGCGAATGGCATTTTTCTTAAGACAAAGTAGAATTAAGCCTGACATCCTGCTAAATTCTAGCTAATAGTAATATTGCAGGATAGATCACTGTGGTAAGAAGCTAGTATAGTCTCCTTATAGTAGTGCCGTTGCATATTTATTGCTCAAATACTTTTGCTACTTCTGCTCCACCATTTAATTATTAATGACATCCTTCTTGACTTTCTGGGAACTCAAGCTAAATAAACCATTCTTATTTTGCCTTTTCTTCACAATGGCAAGTGGCCAAACAAAATTTGATCTCAAAACACAAACTAATATCTTTCCCTCCATTAAACATTATCTTATGGGTATTGTAGAGCTGATGCAAAGGCATTAGGCTGGAGTATCCTGGGAAGTGGCTGTTATAATAAAATATGGGGTTTCAGTTAAGGTTTTAGCACTGCTAGCACATCCTTACAGTCCTTTCCAAGGGTGCTTGGTAACCCTGGCCGCAAAGAAGG